GAATGAACAATTTTTTAAAGTTTTATAGGTTAGTTATTTTAATGTATTGTGTTAAAATTGAATTTTCTAAATCATCGTAAAAGAAAACATATTATTTATGGTATTGAAAAATGGAGTTTAATATCTGACAGTCTTTCCATAGATACGAAGAATTAATTGTAGCATTAACAATGTCTGAACGGCTTCCTCTAGGAATAACTGGCAAAGTTTGTCTAAAGTCTCCTCCAAATACAATCACTCTTCCTCCGAATGGAGAAATAGAATCACCATCATTATTGATGATGTCATTTATGCTTCTGTCCAATGCTTCAAAACAAAATTTGTGAGCCATTGTTGCTTCATCTCATATTATCATCTTAGACTGTTTCAATAGCTCTGCAAGTTCACTCCCTTGATGTATATTGCATGTAGATTTATCTAGAGTAGGAACTAGGATTGAAAATTTAGAGTGTGCAGTTCTGCCTCCAGGTAAGAGTAGAAAAGCTATACCACTTGATATGACGGTTATTTTAGAGTGTGCAGTTCTGCTACTTGATACGTGAAATTATTTAAATACCTAATGTAAGAAAAGTTGTTGGGGGTAATATGGAAATAGTGTTAATTTATGGTAATAGTAAATAATTAATTTCATGTTTTTATTAATTTTTTTAATTATATAAATACTTAAATAGTAAAAATTTGAAAAGAGTAACAAAGATTTGCTAAACTAATCATATATACTCTATGTTCTCTATTCGAATTCCAATATAAGCTGAATCGAATTTAGGGTGATACTTTTTATGACAAATCTTGTTGGTAGGGTAAACACCATGAATAACTTGTCATATTAGAAATAATAAGTGAAAAGTTGATTCTTAACTGATTTGTGTACCTTGGATGTTCGAGAGCCTCCGTTGTTGATACAAAATTCCATCTGCCAACCACTGTCAAATTTATTGCCATACATGCTAAGGTCTACTCACGGGACACAATAAGAGCAGGGTTACAAATAATTTTATTAAGTAGTACCCTGATGCCCAGTCCTTAACTTCTTTTAATGCTCCAATATATTCTTTATCATCACCAAGCAATCCCGCTTCAAAACACGCTTCTCTAAAGCTTGGGTATTGAATGTTGGCAACCGTCCTAATATCCTCATAACAACATGGCCCTTTTGTTACAGTGAGCATCATTCTTAAATAGAATAGTTCACCTGTTGTATGAGGTACCCAGATGAGTCTACCAATAGTGTAACACTTCGTTCGTGGCTTCCAACACCTCTTGCTAGCTACATACACAAAACATGAAACGAACTTTGCATAGGTCAAATCTTTTCCTTCCAGATAGATTTTGCTTGCTTGCTTCCAAGATGTAAACATTGATTCTTTAACAGTTTTTCTTATTAGCACGGACTCAAGGTCATCGTTGTCACTAAAGAACACAGATTGCTCATTGGGAAGGTGAAAGAAAAGTCTTTCAACAGCTCGAGATATACCATGAATCGGAAAAGAAAAAAATCCTCCAACAGGCCTCACATGGTGAGACATACCTGCAATCGAGATATTGCTTGATCTCGTCAATATTCTCATTTTGGGGCGACTCATCATCACATATTGGAACAATAACAGCTGTAATCCGATCATATCCTTTGTTGATATACTTGAATAAGTATTTGATCGAAGTGCTTTGATCGAACAACATAAAATTCTGTAGCGCTTTCATGAGGATCAGGTGATTCCTCATTTGAACTCGTGTCATCATCAAGAGCTAAACCTATTTGAAAAGAATATTGAATAAGCATATGAAATCATTGTTGTGTTATTTATATTGATGATTAGAAGTTCTCATTTACCTTCAAATTGATCAACATCACTATCAGAATGAATTTGTTCATTTCCTTGTGGGTCATATGCTTCACGTGTGCTCACACTCTGACTTGAATTTAGAGCTTGGTTTTGGCTCGTATTAGCATGCATTGGCATGATGATGATGGAGTTGTATTGCAAGGATTATGTGCAACAACTTCATTGTCAAAACTTAGAACCTCTTCTGAAAATTTGTTCATTAGATTCACACCTATAGAATTAGCATGGATGGCTCTTTTTTATTGATCTTGGACCGCACTTAACTGTGTGTTGATGTACGGACCACTCAAGATTTCATTTGTTGAGGTTCCCGCTACTTCATTCGAATCGACATTTGTAAGAGAATGTTGATCTTGAACAGCCCATGTTGTATCATAAGTTAATACGTAGTATGATTTTATATTGAATAAATGTGATAGACATGTATAAAGAGATATGAGTTCACTGTGTTGGATGGATGATAAAAAATTATTTCCAAAATATATCGAATTTATTATCATTTACAAACATGTGTTAAAAAGCATATATTTGTATGTATGCGTTCAAATTTGTAATAATTTTTAACATCCTATAAATATGATATACATGTATTATCATATATGAGTTTGACACTATACACAACTAAATACAATGCCAGTATTCCGCAGTTGATTGCGTCTGTCTTTCTGTAGACTTCCACTTTGAAATTGATGTTGTTGTTGTAAGAAAATCTTGTTTTGGATTGTGATTCTATGGCCGCATCTCCTTTAGCGGTTTGGTTGCTTGAACTGTGAAAATGTAAGAATCGCATAAGACGTATGATTATTTAATTTTTATTTATAAGTCTTATAAGTTGTGATTTTGTGTTATGAACTACCTTCCATTTAAAATGATATTTGTGATGTTATATAGTGGAAGGCAATGCCCTGCTGAACTGTCCATGAATATTTAATAATTTACAATTGTCATAGGATATAGTTAAATAAAAAATGTTATAATAAAGACATGTAATAACTCTTGAGTTGTACCATTGTTGTGGTAGCATGCTTTCATTTGATGTTCCTACAGTTTTTTGCCTTTGGTATCTACATCATGGGGAAAATCTTGGACATTGCTGTTTATGAGGAAACCTTAAAAGTTAAAACGATTTAAATGTTAATGATGATATATAGCAATGTAAAATATATTAGGAGGTAGAGAATTCAAAGTTAGACTTAGCTAAGTGTGTGTTTTGGATCGCGGTTATGAATTTACCTCTCCTCCTGTGATGTAGAATATATCTCCTTCTGAGACGTGCTCTTGCTGCCTCCTCATTCCTTTTTATGTGTGTTTCAAAGTTCAACTAATTTAGTCTAGAAAATACATATTGTTCTGAAGTAGATGTGGAGAAGAAAATAGCACGCATGATAAAGGTAAAATTAATAAGGCAAGATATTAATAATGGTAAAGGTAAAAGTCATGTTTTTCTATTAGTTAATTTTCATTCATACGATTTTTATTAGTTCATCTTAAAAATTTGAATCATTCCAGGATTAATTTTTTGTTTATTTTTGTAATTATCTATATGAAAACTTTCCAAACATCTAAAATAAGGCAAAGTATTAATGTTAGCCTACATTTCAATGAGTAGAATTATACTCCGTATATTTTATTTTTATAGTGATGCTCTTATTAATTTTATCTTTATCTTATATTTTTTAATCTTTATTTTATTCATTTTATCTTCTCTTATAGTTTTTTATTTGTTGTATATTTTTAAAATTTTGGTATTGTTTTTGTAAAAATTGGAGTATAAATAAATAAGTTATACTCCCTCCGTCCCTATTTAAAAGTGCCACTTTGTTTAACACACAATTTAAGAAGTGACATTGTTTGACACTGTTTTGATACAGTTTGACACTGTTTTACTGTTTGTTTATCAAATAAGGAAAGAGGCATTTTTTAGGGACACACCAAAACGAAAGTGAGATGTTTATTTAGGGACGAAGGGAGTAATATATCAAAAAATGATTTTTTTGTCCTTCCCTTCCTCCAAATGAGCAGTGATGCATGTAGTGAATAACACCGATGAACCGAGTCAACTAATATGAATTACATATTTTAGTAGTAGAGATAATAAATTTTAGTATATGAATTTTTAATTTATTTTTGGTATATAAAATAATAGATAAATTATTTATTTATATATATAATATTGGTGTCATATGAAAGATTGTAAAAAATTATGAGTTTTGATATATTTTTTGTAAAAGTTGGATTATAAATATAAAAAATATATCAGGGAGAACTATCAAATAAGCTCTCGAACTTTCATAAAAAAAGCAAATAAGCCCTTTTACAGGAGACTTTGTCCGACTGTCGTGATTTGGGGTGGTTTCAAGTAGAATTTTTTGATGAAATTTTTTGAGAATCTTCTTCATTAAGTCTAGTTTAACCAAACTAAATTTCACCTAAAAATTCAATCGAGAAGGCAGTCAAATGATTTTCTGAAATATACTGTGCTGCCTAACTACGCAGTTATCTTCAAAAATTCGTTTGACTGCCTTATATATTGAATTTTTAGCTGAAATTTGGTACGAGTAAACTACACTCAATGAAAAAGATTCTCAAAAACTGTCATCAAAAAAATCCATCTGAAACCGCTCCAAATGGCGACGGCCGGGCAGAGTCTCCTATAAAAGAGCTTATTTGCACTTTTTATGAAAGTTCGAGGGCTTATTTGATAGTTCTCTCAAATATATCACTTTAAAAAAGAGATATATTTTCTCCCTGGCTTGCTCCAAAACAGTCTTGATGCACGATTTTAGGAGGAATAATAGCTATAACCGTGAATAGTGAATTGTTTTAATAAGTGATAATAGAATTTGCATTATCCAATAAAAAGTTGCCACATCATTGATTTTAAACTCACTTTTACTATATAAAACTATAGATATGTATGAAAGAAGTATGTTCCCAAAAGAATAGTTGACAAAATAGAATGTTATATATACCGCCGTACTTCCACCACTGGTGGGCCCTGAGTGTAAAAAACTTTTTTCCTTAAAGTTTTATAACTTTTCCATTATTGCTCTGAGTCTTTACAAAAACAATACCAAAATTTTTTAAAAATATTATGAGTACACTTTTATAGTCATTTTGATATAATTTTAAGCATAATTATATTCACTAAAAGTGTTTTTTGAAAGAAATGGATTTAATTAGCATTAATCAAATCGTTCGCTAAAGCGGATACAATGAAAGAAGGAGGATAATTAAACCAAAATTGCGAATCAAGCGAAGAACGAGCCGCCCTAGCTAACAAATGAGCAGGCTTGTTCGCTGACCGCTTAACATGACTAAAAGAAATGTTCGAATAAAAATTCGCCAAATCACTAATGTCTTCTCTCAATAAACCCACGGCAGAACAGCTCGATCCATTCAAGATCTCCGATATCGCCCTTAATGAGTCTGATCCAACCTCTACAGATGAGCCCCCGAAATCTTTAAGCCATCTCAATGCCTCACGAATGTCGACCAACTCTGCCATTAGCGGTGTCAAACTCCCCGGCAATTTTCTGGCCGCACCTGCAATGAATTCGCCTTCCTCGTCCCGTAGACACCATCCTATCCCACCATTATGCACTCCACTAGCCGCATCGACATTCAGTTTCCAGCAACCCGGCCCAGGCTTACACCATAAAGCATTGCTCTGCCCACCAGTTTGTTGTCTACTTCCCCCCATCACCTCTTGCTTGCGCCTGTTTCCACCCGTCAACCAAAGACCTTGTCATGTTTATAATTTGCTACAGTGAAGACCTCTTTCCCTCCCAAACTCGCAAGTTACGTTCAATCCAAAGTGCACAACAGCCCCACATTAGTACCTCTAAATCTTCTTGTTTCTTTCACCGGAATTCGCCATTGACTTGATCAGTGAAAGGACTGTCATCTCCGGAGCTCCATTGCCAGCGTAACTCTGTCCACATATCTCGAGCAGTAGCACATTGCCGGAAAATATGCTCTTGAGTCTCCATAGCTTCGTTGCACACTCCACACATCCCTGGACAGCCCACTCTGCGAACCTGCAAATTTTGCCTCAAAGGGAGGCATCCAGTGCAAACCTGCCAAAAAAACAATTTAATTTTAGGTGGAAGTTTGACCTTCCATATATCAGTCCATTCGAACCCCGATTGCCCCTCATACTCCCCCACCAAATTCCGGTAGCAGCTCCGCACAGAAAATAAGCCGCTCTCCTCCCATCTCCAACACAACGACTCCTTTGTCGGACCCCTACTCAAAGGAATACCTTGGATAATGGTAGCATCTCTGGCCCCAAAAATATCTACAACGACATCCATATCCCATTTCCGCTGATTAATGGCAAATAAATTAGCCACCACTGCTTCTTCTAAACCTGCCTGCTTCTCCGTTATGACCTTTGGGTTTTCCCTGTTTGGTAACCACGGTTCCTCCCAAATATTTATGGAATGACCGTCGCCCACTCTCCAGTAGTAGCCTTCCCGAATAATATTCTGAGTTTCAATGAGACTACGCCAGATAAAAGAGGGGTTACCCCCAGGTTTAGCTTTGAGAAAATCTCCTTTTGGAAAATATCTTGCTTTATAAACTCGGCCCACCAACGATTCAGGGTTCGTAAAGATTCTCCAAACTTGCTTTGACAGCATAGCTAAATTAAAATCTCAGAGCCTTTTAAAGCCTAGACCACCTGCCGTTTTAGGCACACAAAGAGAGGCCCAATTCTTCCCGTGTATTCCTTTTCGTGTCTTGCCCTTCCATCAATACCCATTCATAATATTTTCTATTTCGCGGCAAAGATCAATAGGCAGAAGAAAAAGATTCATAGAGTACGTAGGCATGGCCTGGATCACCGATTTTAAGAGTACCTCCCTACCCGCTTTAGATAAGAATTTATTATTCCAATTATTAATCCGGGTAAGCACTCTCTGCCTAAGGTAACCTAGGATGTTTTTCTTATTTCTCCCAACCAGAGCGGGTACACCCAAATATTTTTCTTCCTCCCCTGCCAACCCCACTCCAAGGATATCAATCAGGCCCTCCCGATAGTTCATATCCACATTTGTGCTAAAACAATACCTTTGATTTATTGAAATTAATTACCTGTCCTAAGGCTCGTTCGTAGGCAGCCAGAATCTCTTTGATTAAAGAAGCTTCATCATGGGATGCTCTAAAAAGAGCAAACTGTCGTCTGCAAAAAATAAATGAGAGATCATAGGAGTCCCTCGAGCAATGGAAACCCCATGCAGCCGACCTAAAGATTCATATCTGTGAAGTAACGCGCTGAGGCCTTCTGCCACAATTAAAAACAGGTAAGGGGATAGAGGGTCTCCCTGACGGAGACCCCTTCCCGGAGTCAACAGCTCAATCATTCCATCATCAAAAGGGATAGAATAGGAAACAGAGGTAACACACTCCATAAGTAACCCTATCCATCTTTCATGAAAGCCCAAATTTCGCAACATCCCTTCAAGAAAAGGCCATTCAACTCGATCATAGGCCTTACTCATGTCTAACTTAAGGCCTACCAGGCCCCCCTTCCCCTGACGCTTACATTTCAAATAATGTTGAGATTCAAAAGCAAGCATAATATCGTCAATAATGCATCGGCCAGGAATGAAAGCGCTTTGTTGCACGGAAATACACAAATGTAGGATTTTTTTCATACGATTAGCAAACAATTTAGAAAAAATTTTATAAATCACATTACACAGAGCAATCAGCCTCCAGTCACTAAGGGAATCAGGTTTATCTTTCTTTGGAATAAGAACAATATTAGTGTGATTAATAAGATCCGGGAGTTTACCTGATTCAAAGGCTTGCTTACAAAAATCCACAATGTCCTGTCCGACGACATCCCAAAAATGCTGATAGAAACCCGAACTGAAAGCATACAGTCCAGGAGGTTTGTCCGGGAACATATCGAAGACAGCCTCTTTTACCTCCTCACTGTGGATGGGGCCTAAAAGAAGATGATTATGCGAGTCAGATATACGCCGTTGCACACAACCATATACAAAGTCTGCCCCACCATTGCCTGCAGTGAACAGATTATTGAAATAGTCCCCGATCAGCTTGCCCACTTCAGATCTATCTACTTCCCATCGACCATCCTCGAGCCTCAGCCCCTCCATTTTGTTCTTGCGCCGCCTGCTTTTCACTGAATTATGGAAGTATCGGGTATTGAGGTCGCCCCCTTGGAACCAGAACTCATTAGCTCGTTGTCTCCAAAAGATATTCTCCTTCTCCAGAAGCTCAAGATATTCTTGTTTAACCCTCTGGAACTCATTCACCCTCCAAGAATCCCATCTCTGGCGAAGATGATTAAGTCTTTTTCAACCGAAATTAATACGCTTTCCATAAGAGCCAGATTTATTAGAACCCCAATCCGCAATGGCTTTATTGCACATGGCTACCTGACCCATAATTCCTGAGTTGCGGCTAGTCCCCCAACTACGAGCCACGATCTCACGGCAGTCCGCCTCCCTCAGCCAGACATTTTCAAATTTAAAATTTCGTCTTCGCCGTACATTCTGAGTAGGGATTAATTTAATAAAAAGGGCCAAATGGTCACTATGCGCTCCTTCAAGAGTTTCCGCCTCCGCAGCCTCCGCAGCCCCAAAAATATCTAACCAACTCTCTGACACCAAAACCCTATCCAATTTCTCCTCCACCCAATTTTGCGACCCTCTCCATCGTTCCCAGGTAAATTGATAACCTTTAAAAGCAAAATTTCTTAAGCCACTCGCTCATGAACGAATTTTCCTTCACTATTCACGAGCCATTCACTCCCTTTGCTCATACTTCCCTGTTGGAAACCACCCGTAGCCAAGAACCGAAAGGCTTCTCTCCCCCATTCTTCTCAAATTCAAAACACCGTGCACACGTACGATCAACATGACTCATAAGGCCGCATATGAAACAAAAATGAGGCAAGCGTTCATATTTTATGTCCACCCGGATCGGTGCCCCCCTCTTTTTAGCGTGACTTTTCTTTTGAGAGGACCTCTAACATCAAGGGGAACCCGAAGGCGAAGGTATTCCTTTCACCCTCGTTCGAAATTTTTTCATCGGCTAGCACAAATGAACCAACCTGATCCCTAACTATTTTATATATTTTCTCTGTGTACAGTTCAAAGGGAAGGTTATAAGCTCTAATCCAGAACTCAACGTGATCCAACGAAACTGTTTTAGGATTTTCGTTAGCTCCCAGTTTATGGAGGATCAAGAGTGAACTTTCGAAGCACCAGGGGCCATCAACCATAACACGTTCAAGATCAAATTGATCATAGAATTGAAAAATATACCTTCTGTCTTCGGTTTCGCGGATGTAAACACCCTTGCTCGACCGCCAGACATCTGCCATGGTAGCTCGGAAGAGGGAATTTTTGAAGGCCCCAAATATCCGAAAATATTCTAAGTGTTTGGCTAACTTACAACTCAAAGGAATGGAGGAGAATGTATTATATTCCACTTGATAAAACATTACAATTGGTGGCCTTATATAGGCATTACAAGAGGAGTAAAATAATCCCTAGGAAATACAATTTACCTTTCCAAGAAGACCTTTCATCTTTCCAATAAAAGTAGGGAAAGATAATTTATGTTCCCTAGGAAGTAAACTAATTAAGATTAATTAATTAATCCCAACAAATTCCTCCCCTAATCTAAATTCTCTTCGGTCTCTCATTCCGAGCCTTTTGCTTGTAACCTTTTGCAACAAGCCGAGCTTTGTATCGCTCGACCATACCTTCAGCATTGCATTTCTTCTTATACACCCATTTGACTCCGATCGGCTTATGACCTCTCGGGAGATTGGTAAGTTCCCAGGTCTGATTCTTCTCAATCGCTTTTATTTCTTCGTTCATGGCATCTCTCCATTTTTCATCGTGCTTGGCTTCTTCAAAAGTAATATCCTCCCCATCGGCTAGAAGACATACCATGTGAACCTCTGGAGCTGCTTCATATATGTCCTGTATGTTTCTGTACCTTTGCCGGCTCGTCCCTTCTTCTTCTTCCTCGTCCCCCGGGGTCGTCATAGATCCCGCCCCGATTGGTTCTGGTGTCATCCCGAGCGGGATTGGAATTGGGGTCCCGCCCGGGGTCTCTTCGTCATTTGAGGTCCCGTCCGGGACGTCCTCGTTATTTGAGGTCCCGTCCGAGACGTACTCCTTCTCTGTGTTCCAATCCCAGCTTCCTTTTTCATTTATCTCTACATCTCTGCTCACTGTGATCTTTTTCTCCTCGGGATCATATAGTCTGTATCCCTTTGTCTTCTCATCATAGCCAATGAAGACAAGCTTCTTGCTTTTGTCTTCCAATTTTGTCCGTCTCTGATCGGGCACATGTGCGTAAGAGATACTCCCAAACACCCTCAAGTGTGACACAGTCGGCTTTTGACCCTCCATGCTTCTTGAGGTGTTAGATTTTCAAGATTTGAGTGCGGACACCTGTTTTGTACATACACCGCACATCGTACCGCCTCGGCCCAAAATTGCTTTGGCATATTTTTGCTCTTGAGCATGGATCTTACCATGTCCATAATGTTCCGGTTTTTTCGCTCGGCCACCCCGTTCTGTTGAGGCGAGTACGAGGCAGTAAGGAATCTTCTAATTCCTTCCTCTTCACAAAACTTTGTAAAAGAGTCTGAAATATATCCCCCCCCCCCCGGTCCGACCTCAACGCTTTCACCTTCAGCCCGATTGTCTTCTCCACCTCGGCTTTGAAATTTTTGAATGTTTTAAAGGCCTCCGATTTTTCTTTTAGAAAATATACCCAAGTCTTCCTGGTGTAGTCATCAATAAAGGTGGTAAAGTACCTTCGCCCACTGAAAGATGATGGCGTGATCGGCCCACAAATGTCCGTATGGACTGTCTCAAATGCTCCCTTGGCTCGGTACTTGGCAGTCTTCTGAAAGCTCGTCCGGGTGTGTTTCCCAAGTACGCAACTTTCATAGAATTGCTTTGGAAAATCCATCTTGGGTAGTCCATGTACCAAGCCCTTTTTGCTCAGCTCGGCTAATCCTCCAAAGTTCAAATGTCCGAAACGTAGGTGCCATAATAGTGACTTGTCCGTCAGGTCGACTTTCAAGCACTTATGGTTTACGCTTCTCAAGTCCAACTTGTACATTCTGTTCTTGGCCATCTCTACCCGGGCGACGGCCCGGCCTCGTCTATCCTTCAAGTGTAGGTATCGACCACTTAGGTCGGCTGAATACCCTTTCTCCATAAGTTGTCCCATGCTTATGATATTTGTCTTCATGCTCGGGACATAGAGTACGTTTTCAATCGTCCCCTCCTGTCCATTCTTTTGCAGAAATTTAACCTTTCCTCGGCCTTTGATAACTACTTTTGATGTATCTCCAAAAGATACATTTCCTCCCTCAGCCTCCTTCAACTCAGTGAATAA